AAAAAGAAAAAGAAAAAAGACGGGAAACAAGAAAGAAAGAAAAAAACATATAGAATATAAGGGATAAAAAAAAGGGAAAAAAATGATAATGATGATAATAAGCGATGGTGAATACGATGACGAAGGTGCCATGGTGGAAGTAAAAGTAGAGAATCGCTCTGTTCGAACAATGGGGTGCCCCCCTAATTTTAATTCATTATCTTTCTAGACATTTTATCGTGAATGTCGCAATGATAAATGTTAAAAATTAACGCGTGGGGCACCCCGATGAAAAAATCAAGTTTTTTAATCCGTTATTGCACCGGAGCAGCGCAAGTGCCACGGACTTTGCTGGACTGACTGCCTGCCCGCCGCGTCTATCATTGGAATTTCACTGCCGATATTCCTAATATTAATTAAGATGACTGTGCCGCATAGTAGGCGACGCAGCTGGTAGTTTTTAGAATAGCTTACAAATATAGCATACTAAAGCCTATGTTAAAATATTATAGGACCTCATGGATATAGAAAATAAGGATGGTGTGAAACGGAAATTGAGAGAATGAGAGACGGAGTGAATGTCTTATATGTATGCTGTGTGCAAGAGAAAAAAATGAAGAAAGAAAAAGGTTTGGTTAATTCGTATCGTGTGTACATGTTTGATTTTATGTTCACCATGCCTGCCAAACTGTCTGTTTATCTGCCAGTCGCCATTACTGTTAGTAGGGAAAAAAAAAAAAAAAAAAAAAAGAAAGTAACGTATTCTAACATGTTCACGTTTTTGTCGGCTCTGCAAGGTGTGGTATGACTGAATCTTTTTGTCGTGAATAAAAATATTATTGGACTGCGCCTTCTTATGCACGCACTATAGAATATATTGAAGAAAGAAAAATGAAAAAAAGAGTTTAAAAACGAAACAAATTAATTGCTCATTATTTTTAATATCGATCTCATTTGTAAATATTAAATAGAGTTCAGTGACATCGCAGATCACTATTTTACTCGAAGCCCAAATGTATGATTGATTTTCGTCGGTCATTAAATGAAAAAAATTTTACTACAATACTGATTTATCATTTTCACGCTAAACCATTATATAATGACGTAGCGACATTTTAATATAATTAATTTTTTTTATTAGAACATCATATTTTTGAGACTGTTTGTGTAAATGAAATGGTGTAAACTAATTTTTAGGCGGCTTTTAATGTTACCTTCGTTATTCTTCTTTTAAATTTTGAAATGATTAAAATTGAAGTTATTTGTTTTAAACATGGAGATCACAACATTTGTGACGTATCAATAATCGAATTTTAAAATTAAAATAAAAGGTACTCATTATTTTTTTTGTTTTACATTAAAACGAAGGTAGCAAAATGTGCAGGCGTGAAAAACATTTAATTTCTATTTTTTAATAACAATAAATATATCAAGCAAAATATAATTGTGAAATAAATGTACAAAAAATTGGTTATTTCTTATTATGCTAGACTTATTGAAAAAGCGCAAATTGAGTAATGGATATAAAAATTTGGTGGGGTAATTATTAGAATATCTAAGGAAAGTCGTGTTTATCATTTAAAATGCATACATATGAAAGTGCAGTGTGAATATTTAGAAACGTAATGAATGAATGTGCCGGCCTAATTCTTCATGCTGTCTCTTAAAGAGTACTTTTTATATTACTGTGCCGATGCCCTTTTACCCGCACTCACTTTTCCAAAAATCTTGTTGAATTGTCCCCACCAACACTAATTCCGTAGTTTTCAGCCTCCACAACATCCACCATTTCCACCATTACACAATTTTGCTTTGTAAAACATGTTCATAATAAAAAAGAAATACAAGGTATTTAATCGAAATGGACTCATTTTATTTTGAATATAGAACTTTTTATTAATAAAAATTAAATAATCATGGAATATTCTATATATTGATTGTAAAAATGAATCAAAAAATCACTTAAGTTCTTTTTTATCGATAGAAAAGAAAGGTATTATGAGATAATATACAGACAAGATACAGAAAGAGAGAAATCTAATATTCAATAGATTTTTGCCTCGGGAGGATTAATACTTTCTTATCATTTTAGTGTCATTTTCAACATTATCGATTCGATTCAAAATAAAATTAAAATATTAATTGGAATTGAAATTAAATTTGAATATAAAATTACAAATAAAAAATACAACAATTATTTTATTATGATATTATTAATACTATATTTAAATCTCATTGCTGTTGCTGTTGCTTCGTGTCAAAACACTTGTGTTATATTTGGGAATCATCGGTATACATTGTAAAACTTAGTATGTAACATCTATATTTTTTACATTAAAAATTAAAACACATTGTAGTTTTAAAAGAGAAATAATGAAAATGTGTTTAATTGATATCCCGTACCTGACAAGTTTCGATAAATAGTGAGAAAAAGAAATAGAAATAATAGAATAAAATATTGAAATCAATATGCTATTTTCAGAATAATGCAAACGAAATATATAAAGAAAAGACAGAAAAAAATGAAAAAAAAATAGAGATAAAATAAAAATCGATTGTTAATTTTTTGAATGCTTTAGATGATTTTATCAAGAAATAAATTTTTGGTATTTTAGAGATAACTGATAATGAATTCTTTTTCTATCCTTCTCTTATGTTTGCTATCTTTGGTTAGTTTATTTACTGATGGTTCTCATATTTTTATTCTATTTCTATTCCTTTTCCACATTTATTTTTTTTCAAAAAATGATTCTTATATTTGATTATTTTTATTGTCTATTATTAATAGTAATTAGAAGATCTATGAATAAAATTCAACATATATAAATCATAGAGAGAATATTTAATAAAAGAACATATTTTTAATAAAGTTATATTCTAACATATTTTCAATAAAATTATATTTTTAACAAAAGAAATTATTTTTAAAATCTATTAAATTTATCTTTTATAATTAAATTGAATATAATTTTTATATTTATCGGTTTAAATGGATACATTGAACATTGATTTTTTTCGCAATCGGTATTTCAGAACATGAGATACAAAATTAAATGTTAGGTCTATCCTATATCTTGTTTATGGTATATGTACAATATTCAAGTCGGTGCGCGATGGCTGCGTAACATTGAGGTTGCTCCGCGGTCTTTTGTGGTTCCTCGTTGATTTTCTTATTTTTGTTTATCTTTTAGTTGGCTTAAAAATGTTATAGATTTTCCTAAGTTCCTTTCAAATTATAAAATATTTATATATTGTGACTTTTATATCAAAAATGAAGAACGCAAAAAATCAAAGCGAGGTAATTGATATTCAATTGAATAGTTTTGAAGTAATTATACTTGTTGCTTCTGTTCAGAAAACTATTTCGATAATTATATTTATTTTTTTATAATATTATTATATTATATTTTCTTATTTATTAAGAAATTCATTGAAAAATTAATATTTTATTAATTTTTTTTAATAACATCAAGAATAATAAACTTTTTAACCTCGAAAAATATTGATTTTTTTTTCTCACTTATTGTATACAATATATGTCTCAAATTTATTCATTCGTGTAAAATCAAATATTTCTATTTTTTTGTAATGTCATATATTTTATATAATTTATTTTAATATTTATTTTTTTAATATCTTAAATATATAATAAGTTAATTATTAAATTAATTATTAAAAAAATTTAAAATATTCATTGAAAATTTTTATTTCTTCATTATAATATTTATAATTTATTTCAATAATTTATTTCAATAATATTTATTTTCAGACAATGTATAGAGAGATTTGGAGATCAAGGAGGCTATTTTGATGTTGTTGTAAGACCTATGTTACAACAAGGACATGAAGGAGAATTATGTGGCTGGTTAAAAGAAATGAGTTTAATTAGAACTGTTTCTACTTGTCCACATCCTGAATGTAAAGGAAGAAGTTTGGCTTGGAATCAAGCAAGAATTGTAGATAAATATAGTTGGTCTTGTCCTAATTGTACAAGAAAACAATCTATTAGAGAAAATTCATTTTTTGTTGGAGTTAAATGTGACCTGAAAATGTGCCTTCAATTGATATTAGGATGGTGTCAAATGATACCTAGTGAACACACTGCCAATTATTTAGGTATGTTTCATATAAATTTTTAAATGTTTTGAATAATAAATTTTATACATATTTTATTTTTAGATATAAAAAAACATGTAGTTAAGAAAGTATATGAGAGATGTGATGAAGTTTCTGAAAATTATGTAACAAGTCATCCAGAAGATTGGGTTCTAGGAGGTCAAAGTGCAATATTAATTGTGGATGAATTTCCTAATGGCTATATGACTGAAAATCCTTCTGATATAACTAGTGCTAAGAAACGCAACAATAACTCTCATACAATAGTATGTATAGCAGAAGCAAATACAATACCAACTAGAATGTGGTTTCATATGATTGAAGCATTTCCAGAGGTTATTTTTTTTTTTAATTTTTATAAAATTATTTACAATTATATTTTTTTTATTATAATATTATTATTATTCATTAGCCATTGAAGATAGATAAATCACAATGTGATATTGATAAATGCAACATGGTTAAAGAAGCTTTAAAAGAGATTGCAAAACACAGTGCTCCTGGTAGTTATATTGTAGCAAATAATCGAGCTCGTTGTTGCAGTTTTGAATTGCTACAAGAATTAAAACAATATAAAGTAATTAGCGTAGAACAACTCCAGAAATTTGATCCACCAGGAAAAAATAAACTTCTTAATAATCTAGGTATGTATATATTGCTTGTTATCAAATATTATATAAAAATATTATTATTAATATTGTTTGTTAAGAAACAATTTGGCAAACTGGTGTTGAGATTTGCGAAGAAATTCAAGAAACTACACACACTCTAGGACAACGTATAATATCGAAGCATTTATGGAGGCAAAGATTCGGTACGTCTCCTTCTACAGCATTTCAATATATGCTTAATCATATCGCAGAATGTTACCGCTTTGTTTAAATTGATTTATTATTATTCTAAGTAGCGTATTTTTCTACACTGAAAAGCAATATCAAATGCTAGTGAGTAACTTCTTTTTTTTGACGATATGATTTTGTAAAATAATTTTAACACAAATTAACATACCATAAGTATAATATTGATTATTAATTGAATCGATATTTTATATCCTCTAAAATATACGCGTTATGTTTTGCAGTAGCAATGGCCTTGCTAATAATAGAAAAAAATATTCATTACTTATAAATGAAGTATATATATTATAAAAAATATCTTCATGAAAAGAATATTACAATCTAATGTTTCATTGAAACACGCACTTTGTGTCTTCCAAGTATCAAAATATTAATACTTTTTAAACTTGAATTTATAATCGTTATTAATTAGAATTAGAATATAATGCAAGATAAATTTGAATTTGTTAATGCACATTTAAAATATACTTTATATCATTCAATTTTTCTACAAATTTAAATCAACAAACTAATTATTAAAAGACTGATGGTGATATTGATATAATATCAAATTATTAATGAATCAAATTAAATTATAATTACGAAATTATGTTTCTTCAAAATTTATAATTAATATGCTAATTTCAAATACTCAAAAAATTTGGATTTTAAAATTGATAGAAAGAGCTTTTTTCTATTTGTTCCTTAATGTAAGTATACGTGTATGAAAAAATTAATTTATGATTTTGCTTACAATTACTTGTTAATTATAAGATTCTGTAATATTAAAATATTATCTAATAATCTCATAACAAATTTAAAATGAAACATTTAATATCAGGTGCAATTAGTACCAATATATAAATTAGATTTAAATAGAACAAGTTCACAAATAATTGTCAATTTATATTGTGCTATTAATATTTACATTAGTTATAATACTTAATAAGAAATTAGTTTTATCCAAAGTTTTACACAGTATTATTCAGTAATAATATTCTATAATCATTTTAATATAAGTTAAAATCACATTTATATTTTGTTCAAATTATGGTCGGTTTTCTTTAGTTAAAGTCACTAATTCAGTGACAGAGTATAGCAATTATACATCAGATGTGATAAAACCGACTTTGTGATATGGAATTGTTAGTTTTCTTCGTTTTTCAAATTATATCACTAAAAAATGAATAAAATATCAAGGTTGTCAAATTTTTAAGAAGTTTTCTTAAACAATGTGATAATGACGTTACTTCGTGCGGTAAAATATTATATATTAGTTAACAAGATAAGAAAATTATTTTATAAGTTAATAGAATATAATATACTATATATTTTATGATTAAGGCTTTTTATTCTTAAATAATATCATTTTATAAGATTACATAACAATATTGAAAAACAAAATTTTTTTATTAAAATAACTAAAATATATACAATATTTTTATAACAATTAACCATTTAGCAATATTGTTACGACTTTACATGTTTTATACCAAATTGTAATGAAAAATTGTAACATATTTTATAAGATCAAATCTACATTTAAGTATTAAATAAAGCAATATTATTTCATATGTCGCGTTTAAATTTACCATGTTTAAGGTAAGAAAACTTTACAAATGTTTCCATATATATCTTTATTTACAACAAATAAAGATAAAAAATAAAATAGATAACAAAAATATATTTCAACATAATAATATATATAAAATATTAATTAAAAAAGTTGTATAAGAAATATCATATTTTTTTATATTATTTGCTAATTATGAGATTCTATAAGAGATTTTTTTTATGTATAATTCCTCATTTTATTCACCATAGTGTTAATAAGTACAAATGCACCATCTATGATAGTAATTATAAAAATTCTTCACTCATAATTTCTCTATAATCATTTTGATCTTGCACCATCTTTCGAAAAACTCGATATTTTTGAAGATGATACCTTAAAAAATATATATATATATATTATATATTATAAATCAAAAATAATTTAAACAACTTTTTTGAACATATTTGCTTACTTATAGCATTTGCTTGTAGGTTTAACCATAGTTGCAGATCCTCCCATTGCTTTAATAGCATCATACATTGTATTAAATTTTTTAGCTGCATAAGACCCAAGAATTGCTGCTCCTATTAGTACCGATTCTTTTTCAATAGGACATAATACAGGCAAATCTAATACATCTGCTTGTATTTGTATAAATAATGGATTTTGACTTAGACCTCCGCAAACTAATAAAGTATCTATTTTATGACCAGCAGCTTCTAATGTTTCCAAAATATGTTTTGTACCATACTGTCAAAAAACTTTAAATGTATTTTTTATTATAAGAAAAATATAAGAAGATTAAATATATTTGTACCGTTAAAGCTTGTACTGTTGCCAAATACAATAGTGCCAAGTTTTCTTGATCAACTGATAAAGAGAGTCCTGATATCTATATAATATTCAATTAAAAAAATTAATTTATTATTTTATAATTATCGAGTCAATAAGAAAAACATATAATATTATTACCATTCCCCTAAGTGTTGGATCAGCCAAAGGTGATCGATTACCGTGAAAATCAGGCCATACATGAATATCTTTCGTTAAATATGAAACATTTTTTAAGCCTTTTTGATCAGACATCGTTTGTAATAATTCAGATAAATATTGTTGTATATGTCTAAAAATTACATGATAAATAATAACAAAGTTTATGAATTTATATAATTTATTTTAACTTACTTATTTCCGCTTAAACTTTTCAAAATTCCTGGTGTCGCAGGATGAGTATCAATTATGTGATCAAGTAATTTTCCAGTTACACTTTGTCCTCCTTCATTCAACCATAATCCTGGAACCATGGCACTGAAATATGGGCCCCAAACACCATTAACAAAAAGTTTCTTCTCATTAACTATCATATGGCAAGTTGATGTGCCACAAATTAATGCTGTAAATTACATTCATTAATTATAAAAATCGGAGCGACAAAAATAATAGTATACAATAAAAACATTTTTTATAGATATACCTAATCTACTTTGTAAGTTGTAAGACATGGCAGGTACAGAACAGCCTATCATACCAAGTCCTCCTGCATGTGCATCAATAAGAGAAGTCCCCACAGCTGTTCCTTTTAGGAGACCCAATTCAGATGCAGCTTTTGCCGATAATCCTTGGTTAACCGGATCGCCCGGAGTCCTCACATCATTACCTTCGTATTAATATTTCTCTTTGTTAAAATAAAGTAATACTTTCATATTATCTGTCTGAACATAAAAGAGATTTGTTAACTTGTTAACTCAAAAACTATATATGATTCAAACGAAATAATTTCCGTTTTGTGTAATCGATTTAAATTTACCTAAAATTCACAACAATTCCGATTATTATATAGAATTAGTAATAATACCTATTTTTCTCCAGTTATCTTTCTTAAGATCTTTTAAATGAATTTGTTCAAAGAATTCATCATTCCATTTATTGTTACCATCAGGACCAGCACTATAATTCCACTTACACACTAAAGAACATAAAGATCTGAAATCAAACTAAAAAGTTATACTACAATGTTTATGTTTTATATTAAAAATAAATTCTATATAATAATATTGTTACCTTGATTCAGAATCTGTTGCTTTCCATGTTAAGAAATCAGGCAGATCAAATAGCAATGCTGCACGATTCCAAGATGAAGATAGATTTTTTTTCAGCCATAACATTTTAGGAGTTTGCATTTCTAATGATACTTTTCCACCTACATACTGAAGCATATCATGATCTTGGGCATTTATAAAATCAGCTTCTTCTTGTGCTCTATGATCCATCCACAATATAACATTTTGTTTATCTTCTCCTATAAAAATAAAAATTTAATGAATAGATATTTTATTTTAATTTTGAAAAATTTTGAAAAATACCTGTTGGACTAACTGTAACTGGTGATCCTGTTTTATCAATTGCAACCAATGAACATGTAGCATCAAAACCAATACCTTTTACATTATCTGCTGAAATATCAGCCACAACTGACTGCAATTAAAAAAGTTATATATAATTTTTCGATTTATCATTGATATAAAATTGATTAAATTTATTAAATTTGTTTTATACCTTTACTACATGGCAAACTGCACTCCAAATATTATCAGATGACTGTTCATAAAAATTAGGAGCAGGATGAAAAATTTCAAGTGGGCATGTTGCCAATTTTACTATCTTCCCTTTAGAGGATACCAGAGCAGCTCGAGCACTTCCTGTTCCTACATCAACACCCACAAAGTAATCCATGTCCATATTCTTTAGAATAGATTCGTAAGTTTTATATCTTTCACTAAGAGAATTCAACTGAATGCTCTACTTCAATTAGAATCATTGTGAGCTGCAAATATGAGTAAGTAATAGTTATTATCAGTAAAACTTTATGTAATCATAGGCTTTACTTTAATCTTACATGACCCTGAGATAACTCTTTCAGCAATAAGAAACAGTTAAGTAATAATAACACCAATAATAACTTGTTGCTATATAACTCTTTTATACATAAAACAAAAAAACATAATATACAAAAAGGAAATTATTATCAATGGAATTATTCCAAATAAACAGCTTATAATTAAATTTAAAAATATAGGATATAAAAACATTCAAAACGAAATATAACAATGTTACGTAAGTAAAATAGCATACTATACGTAGATCCGTATATGGAAACATGTATAAAAAATTCCAAGTGCGTTATCGTAATTAATTCTACTACTTTGTATTGTGATCTTTTTATATTCTTCGAGTGTTTTATATAAGTTCTATTAAAGTTAATTATTAAATAAGTACTTAAATAAGTAACGATATAACAATGTATTTAAAAAAACGAAATATTTTATTGTTAAAACATAATAATAAAAATATAGTATACATTGCACGCACGTGTGCGACTAGTTTGACAGTGACCTAGCAATACCTTAAGTATTGAGTAATAAAAAGTAACACACGTGGTAAAACTTTGTCATAAATTTTTCAGAACATACAGTTTTTCAATTATTTATTATTAAGTGATATAAAATTATAAATTATATATATAATTAATATTTATTTTTTTCTTAAGTAACTTTTTCTAGAGAATTACATATTTTAACTTGTTACATAACCTAAACATGGTTCGGTTTAAAAACAGGTAGCAATATTATATATTTTAAAAATATTTGCGTTTATTTATTTATTTTAGATATTCAATAATATATTTTTTATACTTTCATTTATTATAATTTTCAAACATTATATCTATAAAAATATAATTAAAATGTATTCGAAATATATTTTTAGATATATAACATTTAAAATAATTCTTGGTGATAAATCTAATAAGCCTTTACAATTAAAAATTACAACTTTACATGTTGCTATTCAACAAAAAGTACAACAATTGTATGGTGATTTTGGTGTTGCTGCGATAAAAGCTGGTTTTACTGGTAATATAAAAGTTATAGTTTCATTAATTATAATTTCAAAATAACAAAAAAATTGAAATTTTTGAATAAATATCTGATTTTATTTATTTTATAATCTTTTTAGCAAAGTATTGTAATATACATACAAAAATAGCATTAGTGAAAACCCGTCATGGTCCTCATAAATTTTTATTGAAAGCCATCCCACTTATAAATGATATTGCAGGACGTTTGGTATCAATAGAAATACTTTATGTGGGTGCAACATTAAAACATTGTTTTCTTTTTATCAAAGTAAGTAAATTCTTTTTTAGATCATGTGTATAACGATATAAGTAAAAATATTTTGAAATTAAATATTTCAGAAATATCAACAACAAGAATTAGAACGAGTATGGAATACTCTTAAAACTGAAAGAGAACGAAAAAACATGGAAAACGCTTTAATGACATTAACTCCTGTCATGAAAGAGTTGGGATAAATTATATATAATAGGATATATAATATATATAAGATAAATATATAATAGGATATATTTTTAAATTAATTAATAAATAAATATAAAAATTGAAGAAAATAATTTTTTAAATGTGTTAATTTTTATAATTATTCATATAAATAATTTTAATTTGCTTATATTAATTTGAACTTAACATTTCCATATGTTCCGCTGTTTAAGATAAAACGCGCGAATATTTCAAATTTTCAACCACCTATTGTACATTCCACTGTTCCGATGAATCCTAGCGTGGTTACCAGTCGATAGAGGGTGCACGTAGGGGTCGTTGCTGGCTGTCGCTAGTTGTCGCTGGTTGTTGCTGAAGTGTTGAACGTTCCTATTATACAGGCAAAGTGACGGTGGCCTGTGTGAATATAGTTGGCAGTCGATCCGCGGAGGTGCTCTCAAAGTGGTGCGATAGTATAGTTCGGTATGTGCGGACAGAAGTTGTAAGTCGTTTCACGAAGTTATTTCGTGAAATGTACACCGATTTCTAACGAACGAAAAACGAATATATACGCTACATTCTCTTTTCAACGACTCTTCAGTTTGTTCAAAGAAACGTTTAAACGTAAAAATTAAAACGAAAAATCAACCGGCACGCCTCAACATAACCGGCTAATTGTCAATTCGTAAATAAATGTGCTACGTATCAAAATCGTCAAAGAAGACTTCAACTAGAGTATTAACTCCTCTCTTCTTTTTGAGGATCTAATATTTATATGTTTAAGGTAAGAAAGAGGCAGTGTCCTTCTTGTATAGGTTATCGATTTCGTTTCCGCGCTGTTCAAGGGGATGCACTCGAAATTTTCAATGTTTGATGCAAATCTATCCTATTCTCTTCCCTTTGTTTGCGTTTTTAATTAGTTATCGGATTTCATTAAAAAATATATTCATTAATATATATATTTTTCTATTCGAATGGAAAGATCGATTTATAAAATCAGTAATGTCGCACCCTTTATGAACAAATGTCATCTTTTATGAAATATATGAAATATATAATATCGAATATCGAAATAGTAGTAATTTTTATTTTGCACTTAATTTAAACATGTATCATTTATTCCAATAGAATGTTAGCGATAGCGATTGAAGCTAAATTTTCTTCTTCAAACATTAGCTATGCTCAAAATATAATCATATCGATAAAACATTTTATTAAATTTATTTTTTATATAATTTCTAAATTTATTTTTGATTTCAAATTATTCGATTATTGAATGAATATAATTAAAAAAAAATATCAGCAAATTAATGATTGAAATTCGAAACGTAGCTGTAACAATACAGAAATAGCGAGCTGCTCGATTTCTCGACTAATTTATTTGGAAATAGTTGCGCAGACTCTCGGAAGCTGTGCGAGCAGATGTCATTCCCGCTCTTAAGTATAGTTGGTCGAGACCTTTTTTTTTTCATTTCTATATCGTGCTCTCCGAATTACAATACGCTTCGTCAAAAATAATATTGCGAGCATGTTGTTGACCGGAAGTCGAATTATTTTCGCAGAAAACGTAATAACGAAAAGAATATACAAGGGTCTTTCTATGTTTCATATATTATTAAAAAAAGAGTTCTTCGTTTGATTAAAAGAATTATCGATTTATCATTTAAATATTTGTCATATCCACATATCTACATTTGACTGATAGTAATGTTATTATTATTAATAGTAATGTTTTTCAAATTTATCCGCTTTTAATCTCATATACGGTAAAGTGACAAGGACGTGTCTATTTTATGTATATGGACGATTCCAAATAGGTACATATTAGTAGATAAAAATTTAATACAATATCTAATGCAACATTTTTTTTTTAATTTGTGACATGTTCATTTGTAAATTATAAGCAATCTTTTCAATTTTGACAATTTTTTCTATTAAATTTATTAATGAATATATTATCTAATATTTTTTTATAATGAATAATAAATTAAATAATATTGTTTATATATTTAATTTACCTATATACATTTTCATATTTTATAATTCAGAAGATTATCTTTTCAAGTATATTATCATATTATTTCATTGTGATATAGAAATTATAATATTATAAAATATATGTGTTAGATATTTTTGTAGTTACATATATACACTACAGTAATTTATTTAAATAATTATATTAAAATCATATTTTTTCTAAACAGATGTTATTCATGTAAAGATGGAATATGCTTGAACAGGAATAATTTTATGATCTTTATGGTGACTATTCATTAAGTTTACACAGTAGAACGTGTTAGTCTGCGGAAAGAGCAGATAAGCTTGTGTAATCGTTAGTGATAGTGGCCTCTGAAACGACTTAATATAAGCGGTGCTCTTCATTTATATAAAATTTTTATACTAAATGTATAATTTTTATTTTTTTTTTTTTGTATAATTTAATTTTGTTATGAAAAATAATAATTTTTTATATATCAAATAATATTTAAAAAATAATTATTAATCAATGAAGATATTTCTTTCTGTCTACTTGTTCCAAATAAGAAGTTACATGATCTTAGAATATTTAATATACTTTTTCGCTATTTATTATATAAACTTCTGCTCTTTCGTAATGTACTGCAAGTAGGGCATAAGGATGACCATTACGTAATCCTCATGAAAGCGAAGTTATTTGCAGATTATATCGTTTATTTTGACGCCGGTTTCAGATCGTCAAATATAACGAAACATTTTTTGTTTTCAATCGACCCTATCTTTAATTATTTATTTTATAACTTTGTTATTTTATTAGAGAATTAAAATAAATGTACATAGTTGATAGTGTAATAAATTTGATAATTTAATTTCATCAGTTACAGTAAAATAGTTGAAAAATCATATTTTTGTTGAAGTATAAAAAATTACAGATCTTATTAGAATAGTATAATCATTTTTTTGTTTTATTTTGGACTCTAAAAGTGTCGCAATAATTGCATTAATAGGTTTTTTCTAAAAAAAATCCATGCATTTAATGACTTTCATAATAATATATTTAAAGAGCGTAAATCATTCACAGTAGTGAATAAGTGGAACAGAAATAAGAAGTAATAAAAAGTTAAAGTAGAGGCCGAAATTGCTTTTCACTTTCAGAGACGCGAGGCACCATTGCTTTCTGCGATGGACCAATTATATTACGTAAATTAATTGAACTATTTTTAAAAATATTCATACACTTTTATATTTTTGTTTTCTTTTTTATCATATATTTATTATATATTTCGATTTTATAAAATACATGATATTCTCTATAATATCGTTATAAATTTTTCTTTTTAAATATTCATATCACTTTAATTATTATCTAAAAATTAAACTTGTCAAAATATTCTGATACTATTTTATTCCAATGAGATATTTTAATTCCAATTCTTTGATATTTTTTAAATTTTATTATTCTGAATATTTTTTGTTTCTAATACCATACTTTAATTCTTTTCTTTCGGTATTTTTTCCATTTTTCTTATTCTCAAGATATCTTAAAAGTTTTTACTTCCAACTTAATTATTTAATCTCTCAATTCTAATTTTTATAATCAAAATATCTTTTATCAAATCAAAAATCAAATATCTTTATTCCAAATTTTTTTATTTTTCATTCTGACGTTGAAAAAGCAATTTCTTTTTTTTTTTTCTTATTAAATTCTTATTGATTTGTATAAAAATAATAAATGTTGCTTCGCCAGTAAAAAGCGAAATTAAATTTAATCATAGCGTATGATAGGGAATTTAATCATGAATAATCGTGATGTAGTAAAAGGTGGAACT